CTACTAGGGCACATGGATACTTGGTAAATACTTGTGCAATGAAAGAATGGATTCATCATTTCACGCATACTCTTGGCACTGTGCTCAGTGGGAGAACTCAGTGGTTAAATGACTTGCTGTGGATCCACCTTTTTTTTTTTTTTTTTTTGAGAAGACACAAATTCTTAAAGTGTGCTGTAACAATTTTTTTTTTTTTTTTTAGTAACTTAAAACAGCACACATTTCTATCTTCTAGTGTTGGAGGTCGGAAGTTTGAAATGAGTTTTTTAAGGCTAAAATCAAGGTATTGGTTGGCCTGCATTCCTTCTGGAGGCTCCAGGAGGGAATCTGTCTCCTCGCCTTTTCTGGCTTCCAAAAGCTGTCTGCATTCCTTGGCTTGTGGTCCCTCCCTCCATCTTCAGAGCACATCAGTCCGGTCTCTCCTTCTGCAGTTACATCTCCTTTTTTGACTCTAACCACCTTACCTCCCTTTTATAGGGGTCCTTTCGATGACATTGGGCCCACCTGGATGATCCAGTGTACTTCTCCCATCTCCAGATCCTTAAATTGGTTACATCTGCAAAATCCATTTTGCCCTATCAGGCAACATTTTCATAGTTTGGGGGGGTTAGGATGTGGGCATCTTTGGGAGGGCCGTTGTTCTGTATGCCACACACAGAATCCTTGAAAAGGAGCCAGATGGCTGAACTGCCAGACAGAATGGGCTTTCGGGGATCATTCCCTTTGGCTAAGATGATACAATGCCCTGGACCTTACCTATAAAGTTACTATAATGGGCTTGGGAGGGCAGAGGGGAGCTTGCTCATTGACGTTAAAAGAAATGCCAATGAAGGCATTTTAGCGAATTAATTCCTGGGTAAAAAGGAGACCCAGAATATTCCATGGCTGGGCCAGAGGTGAACAAGCCTGCTGCTTAGGGGGAGATAGGCTTCACTCTCTGTTGGAGTAGAGCAGACCTTACTTGGCCTTCTACATTTAAATATAAAGTCTTATAAAAGTTGCAAATTACTTTTATCCTATCATTGCCCTCCTGGGAGTTATTAGTGTTTCTAAATTCTTAGAAAACCTAGAAGGATGTAGTGCTTGCCCTAAGGTGAACAGAGGGAGGGGGTAAGACATGAGCCACACCCCACAGGCATATTTGCTGGATAAGCTGGGGGCTGGAGACAAGGAATTTGGACCCAAGACAGGCAAACTGGACCAACTATTCCAAGTAATTCTCTATGGATGGAAAGTGCCTCAGCTCTGATATTAGGAAATTATGGGGTGAAGCCAGCTCCCCTGGCTTGTAGTTCCAAGCCAGACACACTGAATGGAAATATTTGACTGTTGAATAGAGGGTAGCGTAGGTCTAACGTTAAGGCGGGTTCATCCAACACGTATTTATAGAGTGCCTCTTGTGTGCCAGACCCTTCCCTATGGTCGTGAACAAGTTAGATGTGATTCCTACTAGCTTATGGTCCTGTCAGGGACGTAGACAATAAGCAAGCAAGTGGAAGCATGGAAAGTGAGTATAAATTGTGGTAGGGGCTATGCAAGGGAACGATTGGGTTACTGTGGTAGAGATTAGCATGGAGGGGTGGGCAGGGGTATGTACTTTGGGTGAGAAAGTCTGAAGACCTCTCTGAGCAGGTGTCATTTACAATAAACCCTAAAGGATGAAACCGAGGCAGTGGGAAAAGCGAATGTGAAGGCCTTGAGGTGGGCAAGAGCTTGGTGGTTTTGAGAAACTTGTAGAAGGTGGGAGACCGTAGTCAAGAAGAGGGTTGGAGGGATAGGGGGTGAGGGCTTCTCAGCGGAGGGAGCATTCGGGCTTTGTTCCAAATGCAGTGGGGAACAGCGCAAACATTTTAAGTAAGAAACTGATGTGCTATACATTTAAAAAATAAGATCCTTGAGAAATGTGGATGTCCTGTGCTCTTTTCCTTTATAAGCTACTAGGTATTGAATGCTTATTACACACCGGGCACTGTGTCAAGCTCTTTATGGACATGATCTGATTTAGTCCTTTAAGCAGGCCCCTGAATTGGAGAAAATGTACTCATTTTACTGGATGGTAAACGGAAGCTTGAGTGAGTAAAGTAACTCAGCCAAGGTCTGACCCTCAGTAAGTAGCAGAGGTGACATTCCAAACCCAGGTCTGTCTAACCCCAGTGCCTGAGCCTCTAAGCATTTTGTTTTCTCTCGCTTTTCTTTATGTTAAAAAAAAAACTGCAGCAAAATATGTGTAATGTGAAATTTGCCGTATGAACCATTTAAAGTATACAGCTCAGTGGCATTAATTACATTCCCAGGGTTGTGAAGCATCACCACTATTTCCAAAACTTTTTCAAGACAATCTTTGTCCTTTCGTGACTGGCTTCTTTCACATAGCATAGCACTTGGCGTGTTTTCATGGTTTATCCATACTGTAGCATGTAGCGGGGTCTCATTCCTTTTCATGGCTAAGTAATATCCCCCACTCTTGGGTAACATTGTATCATAGACCACATCTTGTTTATTCACTTATCTTTTGATGGACACTTGGGCTCTTTCCACATTTTGGCTATTAGGAATAGTGCTGTAATGACCATTGGCATACAGGTATCCATTTGAGTCCCTGTTTTTTATTTTTGGGGTATATACATGGGAGTAGAATTTCTGGGACATATGGTATTTCTATGTTTACCTTCCTCTTTTTGTAAAGATTTATTTATTCTAGAGAGAGAGAGAGAGCACATGTGCACCTGTGAGCTGGAGAGGGGCGAGGGGAGAGGGAGAGAGAATCCTCAAGCAGACTCTCCGCTGAGCATGCTGCCCAATGCTTGATCTCATGACCCTGAGATCATGACCAGAGTCAAAACCAAGAGTCGGATGGATGCTCAGCTGACTGAGCCACCCAGGCACCCCTAGGTTTCCCTTTGAAGGAACCACCATACCGGTTTCCACAGCACCTGCATCAGTCAGTTTCCATTCCCACCAGCAATACGTGAGGGTTCCAGTTGCTTTACATCTTTGCCAACTCTTGTTATTTTCCTTTCTTATAGCCATCCGAGCCATTGGCCATTTGTTTATCTTCTTTGGAGAAATACCTATTCATGCTACTTGCCTACTTAAAAACTTGGGTTGTTTATCTTTTTGTGGTTGAGTTGTAGGAGTTCTCTATGTATTTTTGATATTAAACCCATATCGAATATTTAATCTGATATTAAACCCATATTTATTAATCTACAAATCTCCCATTTTGTAGACTGTCTTTTTACTTCCTTGACAATGTCCTTTGCTGCACAACATTTTTAAAGTGTGATAAAGTCCAACTTACCTGTTTTTCTTTTGTTGTTCATGTTTAAGTGTCATTTCTAAGGATTGATTGCCAAATACAATGGAGATTTACCCTTGTGTTTTCTCTTGCCCTTTTTCACTTTTAACCATCAAGTTCTTGTGTACATTTTAGACGTCATTCATGTCATCCAGCTGATATCAGAAACATGGGAAGCTCAGCTAAGTCTGTCCTGGTGTCTGTCCTGCAGAGGCCCACAGAGTAGTGGGGGAAAGAGTGTGTTCACTAGTGTGAAAGATAGTGTTCACTAGTGACGCTATCACAGTAATCTCTCCTAATCATTCCCAAATGCCAGTGTGAGGATCTTGGCTGGTCTGCCAAAGTTTGTGCAAAAAGAAATAAGAGCATTTTTCATACAGCTAAATTTATTCCATTTAAGGAACTGTCCCTTATTCTGCAAGTGGTTCCTTTCTTTGATGCTAGAATGTTCTTATGACCTGAGGCTGACAGGAGATGGTGATGGTTTTTCAAGATGGTTCTACTTGGCAGATTAAGGATGATCAACTCAGTGTCAGACTTCCAAATCTACAGGAGGAAAATAGAAAGCTAAATGGTGAAATTCAAGAGGTTAAAAGCCACTGCAGATGCTACTGTGGGTTTATGTGGACCTGCAAAGCATGTTGGGGGATCCCTGCCCAGGGTTTTAAGGAAAGGCTTCACACAAGAGCAGATTCACTTTTTCCCTCAAATATCTGACCTATTTCCTCTTCAATCATTGTCTTTGTGTAAAACTTTTAGACATGGAGAGTGGGGAAGAAAGAAGAGTAAATCAAAGCTCAGTCTGTTTCTTGGACTGGGTTTCCCTGGGCAGCCGCCGACTGATTCCTCTTATAGATTTTACCAGATGGTTTTTCTTTTTCATTTACTTAAGGTATGTTTTAAAAAAGAAAGACAGACAGAAGTCCTACCCAGAAAGGAATACTTCTTTTTTTTTCTCATGGGAAAGAACACTCAGTTGTATTTGGGGACTGAATGAATTTTTTTTTATGAGTTCACCCTGGTAAAGCGCTGAAATTCTCCCAAACATACTAATTAAGATACTTTTTGTCTTTTCTGTTGGTTTTAGCTTTGAAGATACGATAAAAATGGCATGCTGCGAAATTGAGGAGCCAAGTTTGGAGGAAATGACATGGTCTCTATTTGGCAATTAGCCTTGAACTTGAATGGCCTAGTCTAGAGAGTGTTCTCCAAACTTGTTTGGTGGCTCCAGTGCCTGGGCTGTGCTGGACAGTCGTTCAGTTGGATGGTTTCTCCTGGAGTTGTGCAGTGCGTGACCCGTGTAGCTGTAAACAGCAGCCTGATATACCCCAGCAAAAATAGAAATGAACATAGACCCTCAAGAAATGTGTGCTTGTTTATAAATTATTTATGTGCATATCCACTTAGATTATATATGGATAAAACATGAGTTCTTTTCCTTGTTTTTTTATTTAAAAAAATAAAAATGAAACTATTTTTAACAGAATTTCATCTTTTTTTTAGTGAAAAAAATTGAACACCCTTCAGGTTAGGCCACCCTACTTGGGAGACACTGGCTTAGGAAGAATTCACACGGCCTTCTCTATCACTCGGGCAGGGCGATGCATTTGTAAGGCAAGGTTGCTTTGTGGCTGCAGAGTACTTACGGGTCTTACTGCTTCCTACCAGAACCTCTGTCTTCAGCTGCTGGTTCCCCTTTCAGAGTACACAGTCATTAATGAAGCCTGCCCTGGAGCCGAGTGGAATATCATGTGTCGGGAGTGCTGTGAATACGATCAGATTGAGTGCGTCTGCCCCGGAAAGAAGGAAGTAGTGGGTTACACCATCCCTTGCTGCAGGAACGAGGAGAATGAGTGTGATTCCTGCCTCATTCACCCAGGTGAGTGCGGAACGGGGGCCTCAGGCTTCCTTCATGTTTTCTGAGGTCGTGAATGGGAAGAGGCTGCACGCTTAACTTTGGGCAGGCAGGTATCAGAGGCTACGATGCCATGATGTTGAAAGTGGCATAATCCTGACTGTTCTAACTTCAGGCCAAGGGAGTAGAAGAATTAGGACCCTTTTCACCATTACCCTAATAAGGCTGTGAATTCATCCACTCACTCATTCATTTAACAAAAGACTCAGCAGCTCCTATGGACCGTATCAGATACTGGGAATACAATGATTTAAATAAAAGACAAATTCCCTGCATTTCCCAAGCTTGCAGCCTGGCCAGGGAGATGGAGAAGTAAGCAGGCAGCTGCAATACAGTGCGGTGAGCACTGTGAGAGAGAAGCATGAGGTACCATGGGAGTGTGGATGGCGATGGGGGCGGTGGAGGCTTCCTGGAGGAGGTGATATGTGTGCCGAAGATGGAAGCAGCAAACTGAACAGGGTGGAGGGGATCTGGTAGAGAAATCAAGCCAGAGAAGAGAGCATGTGCTAAGGCCCTGTGGTGAGAGAAAACATCGGGTTTTGGGAATTGCATGTTCCTTGGT